TTCAGAGATGTATACTTTCCCATTGTAGAACAGTGAAATGCCGTTGAATTGATAAAACTGCTGCGGTTTCTACGTAGACTCTAGTACTTAGGTTACGAACACCGTTTGCAAGTTCCGATCGATTCCGAGCTTTTCGTTTTCCGTTTTTCTTTTTCTATATCTACAAGCCAAAGAACTCTCTCCTTTGTATATTTTGGAATGAATGGCTTGGATCATCTGAAACAGTTGCGTGGTGCTTTTGGGTGCCATGGAACTTGTCCTATATTGTCCAGTACTTCCCCCTTAATGCTATAGCAATATTCCCTTCATTGACAGTTTAATTGGGTAAAAATGACAAGGATGCCATTTTTGTTACCACCACCCCATTTGAAGCCTATGTGATAGATGAGAACCCCCCTTGTCCTTTTTATGACAAGGAAATTGTCTTTTTGAGGAAAAGAACCTTCTCATTTTTGGAAAGTTCCCATTTGATTTTGTTGCAGAACCTTGGGATGCGAAGCCATCAGACAGTGATTTTGATCATATGCATTTTCGATTTTCCACCCACCGGATTTGTCTTTTAAGGGCATCCAGCAGACCTTTTGAAGTGTATCCATTTGATTGAGAGCCATCCGATGGCTTCCTCTTTCTCATTGTCCATGTCGCCTTAACCCTTTTACAAACACAAATAGAATCCGAGAAAAACTCGGATTCTATTCTGGTACTTTCTACATACGTGAGTGAATATTCCAGTCAAATTTGGGGAAAAAAATTAATTGAATCCGAGTTTTTCTCGGATTCTATTTCAATAGAGCGCCTGCCAGGCAAAGCCGTTAAGTTAATAGAATCCGAGAAAAACTCGGATTCTATATCAAGGACATGCCGAAAAAATCTGTAACTGATTTTTTTGGTCAAAAATGGCACTCCTTCCAGAAGGAGAAAAGCGAGCGATTGTCCTTCCGCCAGTGCGAGAAATTGCAAAAGGCCTCAAATATCTGTAGATGGTCGTGTAAACTCAGGAAAAACCTGTAGATGGTCGTGAAAATCGAAAATTCTCTGTAGATAATTGTGATTGTGAACCAATAACACGACCATCTACAGAGAATCTTCGATCTTCACGATCATCTACAGGTTTTTTCTAAACTTTCACGACCATCTACAGGTTTTTTAGGCCTATTTCATTTAACGCACTACCTTATATTACTTAACACTAGTCGCGTAGAACAAGAAGTTCTCTGTAGATGATCGTGGAGATTCAAAGTTCTCTGTAGATGGTCGTGAAAATTCAAAAGTCTCTGTAGATGATCGTGGAATTGAACCGATAAGTATTACTTAACACATTTCACGATTATCTACAGAGAACTTTGAATCTTCACGACCATCTACAGAGAACTTTTTATCTTCACGATCATCTACAGGGAATTTTCAATTAACGCGCCACCACCTTCTATATAACAAAAGTCTGTAGATAATCGTGAAGATTCAAAGTTCTCTGTAGATGGTCGTGAAAATTCAAAAGTCTCTGTAGATGATCGTGGAATTGAACCGATAAGTATTACTTAACACATTTCAAGATTATCTACAGAGAACTTTGAATCTTCACGATCATCTACAGAGAACTTTTTATCTTCACGATCATCTACAGGGAATTTTCAATTAACGCGCCACCCCCTTCTATATAACAAAAGTCTGTAGACGATCGTGAAGATTCAAAGTTCTCTGTAGATGGTCGTGAAAATTCAAAAGTCTCTATAGATAATCGTGGAATTGAACCGATAAGTATTACTTAATAAATTTCACGATTGTCTACAGAGAACTTTTAATCTTCACGATCATCTACAGAGAACTTTGAATCTTCACGATCATCTACAGATAATTTTCAATTAACACGCTACATCAATTTGTCGTATTCATACTGTAATGGAGATATAAATTTCTCCGTTGAAGATCGTTAAATTCTGAATTTCTTGGCATACCCTTTTTTGATTTGCACCCAGCCAAAAAATTGCTAGAGGATGATGTGGCCGCAAACAAGCACACGTCAATGAAACCTGAGCAGCTTCGTCAAACACGAGAGGAGTACAAGGTCTTCCCAAACAGCTATTTCAGACCTAGGATCTACCAAGCTGTTCGCAAGCTAAAATTCATCAACTATTTGAACTACGCTAGAGAAGTAAAAGACAAAATGCTGAGATCCAAACAAAAAATCAACAATGAGGAAGAAATCGACGATATCCGTAAGGAACTCTTTGCAGTGAGAAGAAAAAAACAGAAAGTAGTAGCCTAGCTTAGTAGTAATCTGTTATATAAAAATGCTTATTGCTCGTAATAGTTCTTATGTGTCCAGAGCATGACAACATCAATAAAGAAGAAATCAACAAAACGATAATACCACAAATGAGATCTTGAGCAGAAATCAGGTTGGGAAAAGCAGTTCCGAGGGACCCTAAGTTGGCATATGGTATGGAAGTTAGTACGAAAGGCGACTCATCTTGGACGAAGACATTCTTTCTTGTAGCGCATTGTCGTCGGGCAACCAATACGTTTCTGTACCATTACAATACATTTGGAAGGTGTAGCACTATCGCAACATTGTCTGCCGGAAATCAAGCAAGGAGTTGTGGTTTTCGTACAACAGTTTGGGCGATCTCTACTGAGATACGAGAGTCAACGGGTGCATAGCACTGGAAATACTCAGCCCTAATGAAGCAAGGAGGTTTCAACGGTTGCAAGCACTCAGCACTCAGCTCTGCAGTAATGAACAATAAGGGGTAGTTGTCATTTTCGAATTTGTCTGCAAGCGCAACCAGTACAGGGGGTGGGACCTCTTCAAGCGCAACCAAGTGATTGATGGGACCTCTGCAGGGGCAACCGCGCCTGTTTATTGACAACAACTTTGGCTCGCGATCAAAATACACTTAAAGGATTGACTAAAACCTCTCAATCAAAACCGCGGGACCGCTTTTCAGACCAAGATATTTTTGACATTTAATAAGAGAAAAAATCAATAAACAAATTGAATTTTTCTATTTAGGGTCTATTTTTATTTCTTTAGGCCTGTTCCATCGACGAGCGGACCGCCAAGTGAAACCTTTAGGCCTGTTCCCGTCGACGAGCGGACCGCCAAGTGAAATATACATCTTCCTGCGGCAGGGGGTGCTTTGGTCGGAAAAAAATGAAATCTACAGATTTTTTCGGGATGTCCCAGATGAATTTCAGATCAATTCTCATCAATATTGCGCACCATCATTATATAACATACATGTCATATATAATTTTCAAATATTTTTAGCTCTTTTGAATCTCTCACGGTCTGTGCAACCAAAGGTGCGCCATATTAGTCCCCCAATTTATACTTCATCATGCGCTGATTTTTGATGTCATCATGCGTTGGAGCTGTGTCTAGCAGTTGTGATACTGACTGTTAAGAATCAGGACACCTCAGGGAAACATAGTTCTTCTGACCATCTTTCTAGCAAGGTCATGAAGGATGCTGCCAATGAATTGCAGAAACTTGGTATCTGTGCCTGCCAAACCAGATGTACCAACCATTCACAAAGGTTGATTGATGCATGTCCGAAATGTCAACTACCCAAACATGCAACATGTGGCATCAAAGTTCCTAAAGATAATGGGGAGATTGTCTACTGGTGTTTCCAATGCAAGGAGGGTCCAAGCTTGACACGCCTTTCTAGAGTGAGAAAGAAGAGAATTAGAGGGCAAGAAGAAGCTGACGAGGAAAAAGGGATAAAGGTCAATAAGGCGAAGAAGAAACCTAATCGTTTACACTATAAACTCCCTGTAAAGCAAACCCAAGCTACCAGACATCATGACAAAGATGATTCCTCAGAAGAAGAATTGGAAGAGTCTTCCAATGTCAAGAAGATGTCTAACCAATCAGCCAAGAAGACGTCAACTTGTCAAACTAAGAAGTCAAATGTCCAGCTGTATGAACCTAGGCTGATGTCAACTGAAGCAAGTTAGCCTGATGATGAAGAGGATTCCTCAGAAGAAGAAATAGAAAAATGGTCCACGGCCAGGTCTTATTGTCCAAGAGGTGTGCTTGCCACATCTAGTGACACTAGTGAAGACAATAGCCAATTGATTGACAAAATTGATGTCCAACATAGTTACGGAAATAGCAAAAGTGAAGAGGAAGGTTGCCAGAGTGACACAAGTGACCAAATTGAAGAGGAGGACCAACCCATTTGTGCAGCTGGTAGTAAATGCAACAACAAAAGTGATGTGGTTTCTGGAAATCACCAATGTCGAGTGTGGGACGTGGCTATGCATCAAGATTGTGGAGATAAATGCCCACGTCCCGATCCCAAAGGCAGATGTGGCATTAGATATGGAAGCATATGCCTAAAGTGTTTGTCTTTGAAGTGTGCAGCTGAAGGTTTGTGCAAAAGAAAGGGATGCCTGTTGGACTTCAGACACAAATGCCAAACATGTGATCTCTTCATGCACAATTTTTGTGGAGAAGAATCTTCAGATGGAGAGCTACATCATCCAATGGTTTGTTTCAAGTGTGTGAACAGCAAACCCAAAGCCTATAATGGGTCTAGACTTGAGTTTGCACCAGCAGTATCACAGCAGAAAAAGGCAGCCAAACTATCAAAAGGACAAGCAACACAAGACCTGTAGCAAAGGAAAAAGCATCAAAGAAGCATAGCAAAAAGACAAAGCTGACCCAAGGAGCCAATGAAGATAGCACCTTTAGTGGCACCAAAGCTACCAAACTTAAAATTGTCCAGAAGAAAGGAAGGGCTTCCCCTCCAGTAATAATCAAGACAACTCCAGTGGCATTCAATTTGGATCATGGTCGTTTAGGTTGGTGGGAGCAATGGGTCAAAGCATGCACTGTACCTCCTAGGTACACATCTCCATCTTCCTTGCCCTGGTTGTCATAGTGGATGATTCCAGTGGCGTTCTCAAATTTCTCCTTAAAAATATCTGAATCATAATATTGAACAAGTGGGGCCAGGAGGTGAAAAGGTATGTGCTGACAAGTGTAGATTGGTGGGTGCTCTTCCCATCCGTTGACTAGCTGAAGTTGGAATTCCAATTGCATCATGGGTCTATTGTCAACAAATGCATCATAGTGTTCTCCCAGAGCCAAAAGATCTTCTTCTTCATGTAGGTCTGCTTCATTGTTTTCACTCTCCTCTTGTTCTTCATCATTTTCATCCTCTTCACTCTTGTCTTTTTTTTCATCCTTTCCATGTTCTTCTTCATCAACATCCTCTTGTTCCTGGTTGTCTTCTTCTATTTGCTTCTCTTGCTCTTCAATTTGGTCATATATATGGTTGTCATTTTGGCAATCAAATGCAATCCATCTCCAACTTGCAAGAATAACTTGAAAGAGAAACATCTCATGTCCATCAACAGTCACCACTTGGGAGAAACATCCGGTTTCATGATACCCCTCATCTTGTGGGTTGGATTTGTCCTTGTGGTCAATATTGTTGGGAACCTCCTTGGGACCAAGTGGTGTAATGGTGACAAAGGCTGAGTCCTTCCTCTTTTTGGAAGCTTGCGGAAGCTGAAGCTTCTCTCGAAAATGGGCTGCATATCTGGAGTCTCTGGACAAATCAGGACAGAGGGGTTCCTTGCTTGTATCTGTTTGCATTTCTTCCATGTTGGCATAGACATATTCACATATGCGTCCAAGTATCATAAGATAGAGCCTTTTCTGTTCCTTGGTGAGTTTCATGCATTTTTCCAAAAGAGGAAATCCACACCATTGGCGCATACGATTGACAAATCCAAAGCCCACTTGAATAGTTTTCTCAGTTCTTTTCAGGTTCCTCTGATCTTTCTTTGCACTCTTTTGGTTGATAGCAATAGTAGCATTGATAAAGAATGAAAGGTCCAGGTTTGGTTTGGTTGGCTCAAAGGTGGGAAATAAAGGATCCCAGGATGGGCAGGTGGATGCCAGCCGGTCCCATATTGGAGAAAACGGTCTTGCAACTTGGACTACAGGACTTTCCACTGATGTCATCTCGGGCACATCTTCATGTATGAGATGGAAGCTCTTCCTCTTATTGGGAGTGTCCAACCCATCTTCAACATGCCAAACCTGTCTTCCATGATTATAGTGGCATAGATGGGAAATGCAATAGGTTTCTTGCTTGGAAAGATTCAGCTTTATGATCATTCTTTCTGTTTCAACATGCAACCAACATTGCATCCCATGCTCCTCTTGGTATCTTTTCCATTCTTGGTCGGAGGGAATATGATATTGGACTTCCTGTTCCTGCTCATTGTTAACTTCCGGACAGTTCCTGGCAGAAGCTGTAGGTGCTTTTTTAGGCTTGGGCTTAGGTGGTTGGGGAGGCTTTGGCTTCTTTGCTTTCTTCAAAGGTGGAGGATCACTATCATCTGAATCACAAGCATCTGAGTCACTGCTTGCTGAATCTCTGCCATCTGAATCACTGCTCTCGGAATCACTGCTCTTGGAATCACTGCTCTCTGGATCATCCATTGCAGGTTCCAAGAATTCTTGGGAGAGGGGTTTTTATACCCCAGGGCCAGCCTGATGTCTGACTTGAGACTTTTTATGTCCATGGCAGTGCTTGGAAAGACCATTCTGGTGTAGAAGCCAACAGCAATAGTTGGCAGCCAAAGTGTAAAATATTCCTCTCCTTTCCCATTGTTAGACAAGTTTTTTTTGGAAAGTTTGCGGGAACCAGCCTTCTTTAGAATTTTGATATGGGAAGCCATGGCCTCAGCTTCCCCACCACGGATATGTTGGGCCAGGTTGTCAATAAGTTTCCCCAGTTCCAGGGCCTTCCTTGCAGGATCTTTGCCTCCAAAGCAGTTCTCTAGCCTTTTTGAAAGTGCTGGTGACAGTGCTGGCTCTTGTCCTACTGCAGTAGACAGTGCCAGTAGAATATTTTTGGCTCTTTTGCAATACTGGTCTTTTGATAAACAGTCTTCTGTCATTTGGGAGGCAATTTTGAAGGTGTCCCAAAAGGAGATCCTGTTATTAGTATTCTTGCAATCCAATGCATACCTCAAGGAATGGTAGATTGTGGAGCTCAGTGTCAGCATGTCCCATGCCTCACTGGTCAATGCTTCTGGTGACTTAGTGGAGGGGGATTCTCCAAGTACATTTTCCACCACTCTGTCTCTTTCTTCCAGCAATGCCCGGTTGTAGGAATGCATGCTATCAATCTTTTCATTCAGTTTCTCTTGCAGTATTGGTTGCAAAGAAATTCCAAAGGTGGCAGAGTTGTTGATCCAAGTACTATATCCCGAAACCTTTGTGGTGAAAACTTCATGAGGATTAGCAACACCAACAATCTTACTGAAATAAAAAATGAAGATAGCAGTACTTTGATTGAAACTTTTCAACTTCTTTTTACCAAAGGAAAGACCTGTGCTTCCGATGAGTGAACCAATCAGTTGCTCTGTTTCTGCTGATTGAAATAACTGTTGTTTGACTTCTGGAAGGTCATAGTTCTTGCACAAGTCAATAACCTCTGGGTGTTGTTTTTTATTAGAAGAAATGGATGTACCTTGATGTTTTCTTTTCCGTGCTTCTGAACCAGTATCTTTCTCACACGCTCCTTCATGGCCATCCAGTGGTGGGATCTTAGGCCTCAGTTTCCTATCAACAGATAGGCCAGCCTTGCTTTCCATGACACACAGTGACTAGTTCTAACTAAGCTTGGTACTCTATTGGAACCATGATGAGATTGAGCTGCTGCAGATTCTGTTCATCAGCGATGTGGATGACATTTGGCAAATGTCTTGGGAAACTATTTATTTCATTAAGAGGCAATATTTTTGGCGAGAACAAGAAATCCATTTTACTAGACATTTATATATTTTTCATCTTAGAATTTGTTTACTTATAAATTTAAAAAAAACAATTATCTATATTTTTTTTCAGTGTTCGCTCTTCATTCTCCACCCAAAATGCAGTGTAAACATGCGATATCGTTCAAAAACAAGGATGTTTAGGCTGCGTTTTGGGTACAAGAGAAGTCCTATTATTTAAAGTCACCCGGATGGGCATCACGAAAGCTACAGCAGCAACGGCCTCTGTTTGGAAGAAGAAGCAGTGAAAGGCTTTGGGAGCAACCCCATGCATACCCAAGGAGGACGATTTGTCTTTCTAAGGTTCTGTTGGTATGGGACAAGAGACCTTTGGTAGCTGCAAAGAGAATGGACAGCGATGACATCCTTTTTGCTCGAAAGGGAAGACAACATCAAAACATAGCAATTGCAGCAACAACACAATACTACTGTAATGGAAACGGTTTATACTTTTTGCGTGTGTTGTATTCAAATGTCGGCTGGCTTGAATAGGGCAAGACGTATACGTTTTGCATTTGCGGTGGTGATTTATTTTGTTGTGTGTGTGGCCAGAGTGGGGAAATTTGGTGCCATTGTATTTGAGGACATGGTTTAGTGGGGAGAAAAAGGTGGGGAGTGGATTTTTTGCCGTTGCGTACAACATTAGCCGTTAACCACTCGTTTTTGGCCAGTATTTTCCGGACAAACTCTTAAGTTGCTGATCGGGAATTAGAATCCGAGTTTTTCTCGGATTCTATTAGGGAAAAAAATAGAATCCGAGAAAAACTCGGATTTGTTCGTAAAAGGGTTAAAAGGACCAGATCCTTGTCAATTTATGACAACTACAATGACCTACAAAACAGAGTTTCCTTGCCTTCTGAAGAACAGTCAATGGTGATTAAAGGGCATACAGATTATGAATGTATTGGAAAGATCCTTTTGATTATATCACAAACACATTTGCTTTATTTGACGATTCAATGACAATCTATTGACGAGGCTATACCTCTGCAAACATACTTTCCAATGCTTCCGGAAGGACAGCCAGCGATCCTTCAGCAATAGGTATCTGTCTCTCGTTTGCAGTAGAAGGCGCTGTGCCGTTTACATAAATGTCTGCTCCACTGTGCATGTTCCACAGTTTGTACTCTTCTAGGGCTGCCCCTATGCGGGATTGCCTTCTTAACTTACCAATTGAACTCAACTTCTTGTTGTAGCTTTCAATTCCCTGTTGACTCCAACCAGATGACTTCAGCTTCAAGCCATTGTCACTTGATGTGAATTTGGCCTTGAACTCCTTGCTTATAGCAGCATGTTCCTTACCTCGGAGTCTTGCTGATTTGGGATCCTCATGCTGTTTCCTCCAACGACTCTCATAGTTCTCAAGTAGCATGAGGTCAAATGCCTTGTCACTCATGGTGAAGATGTTGCTGATTGTCTCCTCCTGCTTCGGCACATCAAATTTGGTGTTTGTGCAATTGATTGATGGCATGATCCGTTTCACTAGGTAATGAAAGGTTGGTACTGCCCCGTCCTTGCTTGCGAAACTTTTGTGCCATCCTTTGTTAGGTAGTCTTGATATCCCTGACCACAACTCCTGTATCCAACAGCTGCATCAGTGTTCTTTTCCAGGAGATGGACCACCAAGCTATCAGGTCATCTGGTAGTAAATGGAACTTGCAGAAACGAGGGTTAGACACCAACAGGAGACTTCTTCCAAATATAAAAAAATTGAAATCACTTACTTAGAAACTTTGATCTTGTAGCATTGTGATTTTAGAAAGCAGAATGTACACATCATTGTAGTAGGAGATTGACTTGCCATTTGCATTCAGACAGCTAATCAAGCCGTCAATGATGCTCTCTCAACATGCAATCATGCTATGAGATGTGCTGTTTCTCAGTCTTTGAAAAACAACACTCCAGGTGAAGTAGTGTTTGCTCATGATATGTTGCTCAACATTTGAGTATACAAGAAAAGCGACAATTGATGGTCAACAAAAATCTTTGGCGACAAAATGCTAAACGAAATGAGTTTGACTATAACGTTGGTGGCAAAGTTTTGATCAAGAATTTCAATCCAAGTAAATTGGATCCAAAGATGGAAGGTCCGTATCAAATAACTTGTGTGATTACTAACGGAACTGTTGAAGTTGGCAGGAGTCCTCAAGTCTTTGAGAGACTGATATACGGCGTCTTGTGCCGTTTCGTCAAGTCTAACAAGCAATGAGTTTGAACCGCCTGTTGCATCAAGAACCACCTCTCGTATGAACTGTGGATGTAAGGGCGCCTTTGTGATAATAATAAAAACGGAGACATTAATCGTAACTACATTTTGATACAGAATGATATGATAATACTATGATCATACGACAAGCTTTGAAGTAGACCTTAGTCAAAAGGTCCACATAAGCACTTTGAAGTGCATCTCTATAGACATCCACCTTTTTCTCTGTGACTCTTCTGTGAAGGTGGGGTTATACATATGATATTTCCCAAAAACTCAAATTGTTTTTGTGCTATTTTGTGATACATTTAAAAGGCAAAAAAACGGACAGCTGAGCAATGGAAATTCCCACAACTATTTTTAAGATTCCTACAACTAGTTGTGGCAATTTTTGGAAAAAAAACTGTTCCCACAACTAGTTGTGGGAAATCGCGTTAAATATTGCAGGGACAAAATAAAATGAAAAGGGGGAATTCCCACTGCCTCAACTAGGCAATACTGTCAATACCGCTCTTAAATAATTTAGATGTTTCTTTGCCAATCCTGATCGGCACATGACCAAAACCCCAACGAATTTTTCTGTTGTTTGTTTTTGGGTTCAAAATCGATTTGAGGGTTTCAAAGCAATGGCACCAAAAGACTACCCCCTTCACAGGGTACGTGCAAATTCAATGCATGCAAATCATGCGTTTGAGAGAACTTGCGGAAGGTCCTGTATGGCTCTTGATCAGGGGTCAGTAAAATAGAATTGGCAGTGCAATTAATTGCAATTGCATATTGCAATTGAAACGGCCCATAGAACAGACCCAAGGTATTGGGACTCTCGAAGCTCCTTCGGCTGGGGACTATATTAGACCTTAGGTCTTACATAAGCACTTTCTGTGCCTTTCTAAAGTCATCTATAATCTTCAATAAGACTCTTCTGTGAAGGTTGGGTTACAATTCGAATAGCCAAAGGCTTTTACTGAAGAGATATTCTAACGTAGACGGAAGAAAGCAGTCAAACCAATGGACTCAATAGTGACTCCATGAACGACAGTAGGGCGACCGTCATCTCAGCATTGCACCAGCAACCTAAGTCCAATCTACACATATCGAACTTGTGTGCAAGTATACTGGCAGAAAGATAGAGTTATTTCTTTCTTTCCCATCCCACCACACCATGTTGGGCCTTGACACAATTGTTTTGTGTCAAGGCCTGGCAGACAAGCAAGTCTCAGATTTCAAGTCTTAGGAAATCTGAGACTGCTCCTTTGAGTCGCACACTTTGCACGCAACTCAAAAGGACCAGCTTCACACCACAACCCACTAGAGTCACTCCAAGAAACACCAAGCAGAAGAACCCAAAAAGAAAATGCCAGTTGGCTATCTTCGATAGACTCTGCAGAGTTACAGTAAACTACTATTGTATTGTTTGCTACGCATCTGACTTTGTTTCAATTTCTTTGAACTTTAAAGAGTGAAGATACAGCACTATGACTGCTTTTGAGACAAACTCCCCACTTTCCTATGTTGAACAAGGCAAATTCTCCATGAGATTGTATTCTACCTTCCTGGTGAAGATGGTGCTGATCGTGAACAAAAAGCAAAGGTTCCACTTTATCTTGGCAAGACCAAGAATCTTGAGTCCTTTTGCACAATGTTTCTCTCCTTCAAGAACCTCTGCAAACATTGGGGTCTCACAGGCAATACAAATGCCATTGGTGCTCTCAAGTTCACTCTCTTTGAACAACATCTTGGCGGCAATGCCCTCCATGAGTGGCAAATCATATCAAACAACGCGCCAAGTAATTTGGTCGCGCAATTCAAGAATTTTGTTGACACTTTTATTACCATGATGTCACCTGGCAAATCTCCAAGGAACAACGCAAGCTCATTCCTCAAATCTCCGGCAGTCATTAAGACTATGAAATCTGATGTTTCTGAACACGTTCGGCAACTCGAACTTCTATGTTTTTATCACGACATGCTTCCAGGAACATCTCAAAAGCTGGATGAACCTGACATATCTCACAGAAGATGCGTACAATACCTTACTAAAAGGATTGTTACCACAACCTTAACGCGGTATTTAATATTGTATTGTTAGTCATGTGTGCTGTTACACGGCATTCTACCCCTATGAAGGAGAGCTGCAAAGCAATGATGCTTCATGATAGGTTACAGTTCGCTGGCCAGGCGAAAGGTTGTGAGATCCATCGAATCGGAAAGGGGGTGTTGACCTTTTGACTTTGCAGCCGTGGACCTGTTGTGTGACAAATAAGACCAAGTCGTGCTGCACCTGTTGTCCTGCGGCTCTGGAGTCGATGTCGCAACCTACTCTACTTTCTTTTTCTTTGGAAGAGTCTCTGATCAGAATGACATATCTCACAGAAGATGCGTACAATACCTTACTAAAAGGATTCTTATCACGACCTTAACGCGGTATTTAATATTGTATTGTTAGTCGTGTGTGCTGTTACACGGCAGAACCTAACAATATTTCTGTATTGGCAAAAAAGACGATAATCTACAAATCTTTTCCCAAGCAATGGCAAGATCTACTTCGTCAACAAAAAGGACCAATTGAAGATCCTTCCATCACAGTGGCAATAATGGAAGAATACTTTCAAGCCACTAAGATCCTCATGGACAACACACATGCTGCAAAGGAACAAATTTGTGAGCGAACTGGACATGCACTGGATCTCACAATCATTGTTCTGCTAATTGTGGCGGTCGAGCAAATGGAAACTCTCGCTATGGCAATAGACAACTTAGCTCTAGTCAGCCATATCCTAGCTACCAGAATCAAGGACAGCAGAATGGTGGAAATCGTTATCCACCAAGACCTACAAACAACTATCAAGGAAGACCAAGTGGCAACAACCAAAACCAGTGTCGTTTTGGAAATCAAGCTCCAAACAATAGACCTCCAGGAAACTCTCAGCAAAGAGGTTTTCAAAATCATGATTATGCTTAATTGCATTTCAATCAAGAAGCGGGATGCTTTGTTCCAGATGGAACTGTCCCAGTAGAGGACCCAGGCAGAATGCCTCAAGGCGGAATGTCTTCTGCCATAGAGCAGCATGCTGAAGATCAGCCAGAACAAGAACAAAATGATCAATACTTTGTCCGAGGCCAATTCGTTCAATTGCATGAACAAAATGAAATATATCCTCCTCCTGAAGAATTGTATCCTCCAGACAAATCGTATCCTCCACAAGATGATCAAGGCTATTATCCTTATGGTGGTGTTGAGCATTATTCCTATGAAGGTTACTGACTTTCGCTCCAAAACAATACTCGTCCGCAGTCTAACCGTTTAATCAACCCTTTCTTCCAATCTAATCTTTCATCTTTTGCTACAACATTGACCCCTGATCAAGGTCCGATGACGCAAGAAGAAAAGCATTTTCTTTTGAATGACTCTCTTGTTTGTGTGCCAACTCCAAAACAAACCTTGGAATCTACGGGTGAATCGATGAACAAAAAGAAATTGACACCTATTTCTTTGATGCAATGGGGAACATTGGCGGAAAACATTCTGCACAGCCACTACGAGTATTGTTTGATTCTGGAGGCAAAACATGCAAGAATTATTCCACAAGGCGCGATGGTAAAAGTTAATACTACTGCTAAACCTTGTGCGACTGTATCTGGAAGTTTCAATGGTTTGATGTTGTTGAATGTTTGGCATTGTGATTGGGTTTGGCATCGTCTGTAGAGGAGGATGATTCAAGAAGGACTCTTCCATTTCAATGACGTCAATGGTCAGGTGTTCATGAATGTCTCCATCTTGGCAACAGGAGAACTGACATCAAAAGGTACTGTTGAACTGCTTCTGTTGATGGCGCAATCAAATCGTTTTCTTTTTCCAGAACATTATCTTCAAATGTGTAGATTTTGTCTTCGGGATCAACAGAAACCTGTAATTTATCAAACGCAATCAATTTACCCTTATTTGGACTCTTCCCTTCAGATAGCTTCTCCATTCGCGGAAGCCGAGAGAAGCAGTTGGCAATCGCGTTATCTTTTCCAGGCAAATAGACAAAATTGGGGCCAACTTCAACGTGCGCATGATGATAAGTAAAAATAGTTAATTTGGCACCATATATCATAGACCAAAATTCTTTCAAACAATGTACAACAGCCAACATTTTTTTTTCCATTACAGAGTAATTGGGTTGTGCAGCATTGAGCTTACAACTCCAGTAGGCGACTGGTTTACCTTCTTGCATGATGACAGCGCCCATCTGGTAGTCAGACGCATCAGTATAGATTTCAAAGGGTTTGTTTGGATTGGGGTAGCGCATCATTATATCCCTAGCCATGAGAGCTTTCATCTCAGCAAAAGCTTTTGCACATTCATCAGTCCATTCAAACATTCCTTTGCCTGTGAGCTCTGTAAGAGGTTTGAGAAGATGAGATTGACACGGCCACATGTGGCGGTAAAAGGTAACAGCACCAAGAAATGCACGCAATTCTGTTACATTCATAGGCGCTGACATCTTGAGGATGGCATCAATCTTTTTCTTCCATGGCTTGACACTTTCAGGAGTCAACCAATGGCCCAAGAAAGCCGTTTCTTGGACACACCACTAGCATTTCAAGGGATTGATCTTGAAACCAGCAGCTTGTAGTCGCTGCAACACTTCTTGGATCAAGGCCATATGTTCTTTGTGAGAATTGGAGACCAGGCCAACATTGTTATAATTAAGCTAAATGTGCTCTATTGTAAGTGCCCTTAGCGCTCAGAACAAACTCTCTGCAATCTAAATTTGTAATCGACTTTACAACACTTTCACGACAATAGTTCTCCTGTGTCTAGGTATACTTTGAGTGAAATTGTTCCTATTTGATTGATATTTGGCTTGAATTGATGATTCAATCACAAAAGTAAGTTCAATGATTTTCCCTTGGAAAATCCCTTGTTTACAGAACTTGATTCGACCTCTATGACAATTCTGTGTTGAATGCAGTACTTTGGGACATCTTGTATTATTCCCTACTGCATTGTACACAACACCAATATCTCACTTGTATAGGGTCATTTCCTTTTTGTGTGGATGTAGATTGTCCGACAGACTTGAGTCCGGCATACTTGCGTCGAATCACGACATCACGATCAAAGTCAGATCGTACATGTTGAAAACTTTGCACTCGAATTAGGGTTAGGGTTAGGGTTAGGGTTATCTGCAGGCAATGATTATAGGGATTTTAATGGCTAATGGTTGATAGAAGAGTTTCATTGTGCCAATTTTTTTTAGTTTAACACCCCAGTGTTGGGATATGACAAAATATGAGTAATTACATTCCAAAAAGAAACTATTCAAGTACAAAGTTTTCGACACGTACGATCGAACTTTGATCGTGATGTCGGGATTTGACGCAAGTATGCCGGGGGCAAGTCTGTCGGACAATCTATATCCACACAAAAAGGGAATGACCCTATATAAGTGTGATGTCGGTGTTGTGTACAATGCAGTAGGGAATAATACAAGATGTCCCAAAGTACTGCATTCAACACAGAATTGTTGTAGAGGTCCAATCAAGTTCTGTAAACAAGGTATTTTCCAAGGAAAATGTCGAAAAAAGTTCGCAAACCTGTAGATGGTAGAATCTGGTGAAATGTGGTAGAATGGGGTAGGAATGAGGTAGAATGTGGTAGAATATGGTAGGAATGTGGTAGAATGTGGTAGACTGTGTGGTAAATTGTGGTAAACTTCATCAGTTGAGGGGTTCCTCTCAAGTATGGTATTCCGATTCCGTGCACCGTTTGACAAGCGCTTGCTACTGATGACAAAAACGGAAACCACCTTTGGAGAGACGCAATGGAGAAAGAGATTGCCTCTCCCATTGCAATGAATTGCTTTACCTTTCACCTGTCTGATTACACAAACTCTCAGTTTGCTCCTTTGCGAATGATTTTGAAGCCAAGTAAGATGGACGACGCGAAGGAAGATTGGTTTGTGGAGGTCACCTTGTGGACCCCCAAGGGACCTCATCTAAGTCTACTGTTGTGAAGGGTGTCAGTGTCAGATTGCTAGCCCACCACGGTGGCTTGACTATTCTCCATGGAGATGTTTGCAATGCTTTCATTACTGCCAAATGTCTAGAGGAGATACATTCTACTGCTTGCCCTGAGTTTGGAGAGTGTGAAAGCGCTGTTGTTACTATCAACAAGGCCCTTTATGGCCTAAGGTCTAGCTCAAGGGTCTACAGGGAAACTTTTGCTCCGTTTATGTTTACAATTGGTTTTGAACCTACTCGGTACGACCGTGATGTCTGGATGAGACTAGGTGAAGGCAAATCTGGGTACAATTATCTTTGCACTCATGTAAACAACTTCAAAAATGTATCCAAGGATCCTCAACGGTGGGTCAATGCTATTGTGGGTGCCTTTCAATTGAAATGCTCCGGTGCGCCTGACTACCATCTTGGTATGGATTATTACTTTATAAGGTTTGGTTGACAGGTTCCAAGACCTAAGTGGAAGAATGCATTTGCCGGATCCAAACGTTACTACCTAACGGATCCCAGCTCTGTGTTCTTTACACTCCTGCACCATCTGAAGGACCAGCTTCTCATCCTGAAACAGATGCTTCAGATTTCCTCCACAATGCCGGAAAATGCCAATATCAGATGTTGGTGGGCATGGTCCAGTGGGCCATCACAATTAGACATATGGACATTGCTTATGGAGTTGCCTTGTTAAGTCATATTTCTGCTGCTCCTTGCCAAGGACACCTAGAATTAGCTTTTTATCTTTTGGATACCTGAAGCGTTTCCCCAGCAAGCAACTTCCTGTCTGCTCTGATCCCCTTGAAATCCATCCTACTCTACTTGACAAGAAGGGTGATTTTATCCCCAATTTCCTAAAGGAATATCCGGATGCCAAAGAAGATCGAGACCCAAAGGAACCAAAAGCTTCCAGGAAATCAGTACAAACAAGTGTGTTCTTTGACGCCAATTTGGCCCACAATTTGCAGACTTGTCACTCTATCACTGGTCTGCTCGTGTATGTCGGAAGTAAGCTTGTTTCATGGACTTCTACACGTCAGGGCTGCATATTGCTTGGAGTTTATCGCCATGCGCGCTGCAGTAGAGGAGGACATGTCCCTCAGGTACATGTTACGGTCACTGGGCTTTCCCGTTGAGGAACCTACCAATCTAATTGAAGACAACCTTGGAGTGATCCAAACCGCTAGCATTCCTGAAGCGGATCTCAAGAAGAAACATGTTGTGATTTCCTACCATTGTGTCCGTGAGGCCGTTGCTGCACAAATCGTCAAACCAATTTGGTGTGATACCAGCAAAAATTGTGCTGAAACGTTGGGAGGCGTCAAATTGAATGCCATTCTCAGTAGAACTATGCTTTAGCCAGCTAGTCCATGTGCAACCACCTCAATACATGATAGGTACATAGACCACATTTCTCTTACTCAGCTTTAGACTACCTCCATAAGCTACAGACGAAGAACTTACTAGATCGTCTGTCCATATGTCCTCATACATCACATCATTCATCCCGTTCATCTAGGTACTCTATGAGTTGCTGACAACTACTTTTGCAGGTAGACTACAGATGGCTGCTCAGGATGTGAGTTATGATTGTTGTTGGATTCCACGCTATTTTGACAATGATTCAGAAATACTCACACATATTTCTTTGTTATTTAGGAATAATTGTCACTCGAGAATCAACAACATCCGCAAGTTCACAGTGGTGCCAATGGCTAAATGTAGGAGGGAGGGCATGAATGGTTGGTTGGTTGGTTTGAAGCAATGCAAACAATGGAAAGTTCAGTGTGAATACATAGGATGGCAAGAGTGGTGACAAGAAAACCAATAGATGACAATAGAAGTGGTGTGGATTAAAATAGCAATGCACAAGACAATTTTATAACCTAATTTGTGCAGTTAGAAGACATGCACTCAATGACATTATGCCATTGTACATTGGTTGTGTTCAAGTGAGACATGTGATTTTGTTTGCTATGCTATTTGAGAACTACAGCTGAGCAAGGTGACAATATCACATGAGGCATGTGACATTATCGCAGAGGCAAAATTAAAGATGAAAAGCATGTGGTCACGTGACATAAGCAGAGCAAGCCATGTCCTAATGTGACATGAGCCAGCCTATCAATATGACCAAACTTTCTTTTCCAATGGTTGGTCACAACCCCATGTGAAGACCAGGTGTTACATGAGAACCCCTGATTCTTGGTCCACAGGACTAGGTCAGTTCCGCTTCCATACTGTTTCTGCTGTTGAGAATTTGTTTCTTTGACATCACTTGAGCTGCACCTCCTCCAAAGGACAGAGTGCCGCCAGTATGGCTCTTGAAATCTGGATGCACCGCAAATGATGCGTCAATCATCCATTTCATGACTCGTAGTGATTCTGCAGAAAGTGTTAGGTGATACAACATTGTACAAAACAAATAATGCATCATGCGAACACACTTCTTCCAGTCAGACTCTGTAGGCTCTCAATCTCTAGAGGCAAGAATAGTAATTTTTGGATGGATATCCAAACGATCTCTCTTAGAGACATAAAGTCCCCTTGCAGCAGTAGTATGAAAGATCTGACGGTACTCAGCACTGAGTAACTTCCCTTTACCAGCTTCCAGTAAATTGTTACCAGCTGGTGTTTCCTGCTTTGAATCCTTGTTGAACTTGATAGGAAAATCTTCCAACATGTTCTTGACATAGTCGTCCATGCAGATCTTGAGTTTTCCTTTCACCAAGAAATCCAAAGTCATTCCAAGATATCTGTGTATCTTTCCTCTGACGATTGTGCATGCCTTGATCAAACCATATCTCATGTTCAACCACTTAGCAAATTTGTCATTTACTTTTGGGTCCATGTGACTTGACATAAGATTGTCAACTTGTGGAAGATGTTTTCCTTGAGTCTAGAGTCAAATGCGACTCTGAACTCTTGCCTGATATCCAAAGCTGATCATTGGACACTACCAGTCACTCCTGCACAATAATAATAATAACAGTCACTCCTGCACAATCATTGTATCTGATGATAGGGTGCAAGGTACAGGTTTCTCACTTCATGCTCTCCTTGCAATGCCTGCACAATGCTACTCAATGCTTACCCCATTAGAGGTAACGACCTGGGTTCAGTATCCCGGTCAGCACATGTCTTTGCAAAGTTGAAATCAGAGTCATCAAGTACAGTTGTACTATACTTATGCTCGTTTTTGGCTTGCAAGATCTAAGTAGATCTAGTGAGTAGTATGACGGGCATCCTTGCAACAGCTTTGGTTGCGTCGCTTCATCTGTTATCCTTCTTCTAGCGCATTGGATGCATGATTGAAATCATTGTAATCCACCATGAGAACCTTCAGCCGTTGAGGTGGCTATGAACATGTTCAGTTCCGAGTTGCGATTCTACATTGTCAACTTGTAGAGCAGGGTAGTCACTGGTCCTTGGAATCATGCCTACTCTTGCATCTATGTCCAATGCAATAGTTCGTACCACATATGGTACACTTTCTTCTGTTTTGTTGTCATGTACTCTTGTTTGAGCAAGGTCCGCACCAATAGGTGCTTTTTCATATAGAAAAAAATATATTATAGAAACAAAACAACAGGCATTCCAGCAGAACCACCCAGTCTGTCTTGCGTAGCGCTAGTAATGAATTTATGTAGAAAACTATGAATTTATCACCAAGCCAACCATTCAACACCGGCGCACCATGGGCAAATCTATCATCATGAAGGCATCCTCGTCAAAGACAAAAAAGTTGGGCGTGTCAAAGATGAAAACGACCTCTGTGGCAAAAAAGGCTGTAAAGAAACGAGTGGAAATTGACCTTGAACAGCCTAAAGACAGGGATCCCATCGATTCCAAGCTGATTTCTGAGACTCAGACTGAAGAGAAGCTTGCTACTGATGACACTGACGTGCAGATTAGGGTTATCGCCGCACGCAAAGCTCGTCGCAGAGCCCATTACAATAGTATTGTCCCAAACTTGCCGGCGTGGTGGATGCAGAACTTATATTTGGGAGATGTTGTTGACGAAGCATTGGAACGCCATGACCACATCCATCCGGGTAATACGCTGTTCATGGCGTGGGAAGAGCATTTCCCTGGCTCTTGGAACCCACCTTGCCTCCGGTACGACAATCCATTTTACGACAACACAGGGATAACATCTTGTGAAGATCGTTTTGCTCGCATTTTCAAATTGGTCAATTCGGATAACAATCAATTGACCAATTGACTAAATATCTCATCGCCGCGTTTGACACTGAAATGATGGAAGAGAACCCACCTGAAGAAATCTGGTCCTTACGGGTCCTGGCAATGCGGATTTCCCTACAAAATCCGTTTACCTTTTTTGGCATTGATGAGTTCAAAGATAAGGTGGACGATAATCATTTCTTTTCAGGCAAAACCCTTGGTGGGCTTTTGGTTAATTTGCTCCAAATTGTTTGACTATCCATGGATTAACGAGTTTATGCTGGAGTATTAGAACGATCCGCCATCTGCAATTGTCAATGCAATCAAACAAAGAAGAAAGGAGGAGTCCAGTCAACTATGCCTAAACCAAGAACCTGTGAAGGGACCAGGTCCGCCTTGTATTCTAAAATATATGATCCAATGTATTCTGCGGATGAGCCAGGTCCAGACGTCCAAAAGGAGTCTGCAATAACACCGAAGGATCAGCTGCAAAAGTCAGATCGTTTTGCATCTCTACAAAGTGATGATCAATTGTCTAAAGGGAGTGGAACTCAAGAGTACGACGAGGTGAGAGTGGTGGGGTTAAAACAGAACCCCTCCAAGGCTCCTGAGTCATTGGACAAGGATGAAGACGATGACACTGATGATGACAAGGTGAACAGCAAAAAAACTTTGGAAGACGCAATGGAGGAAGATGACAGAGATGAACAGGTCAATAGCAATGTGGTAAATATTCATGACGAGGACAAGGCTATGGTAAAGAACACCCCAACGTTGACTTTGCACAACTCTACAGAATCGCAAGACTCAATAACTGGGATCCTTATGGAGCCCTTGGACAACCCCTCTTTGCGTTCAATGTCCACCAACAATTACGGAACGGATTACTAATCTCATTCAGGTGAATATGGAAGGTGCCCCAGGCAAGTGTCACATCTTTGAGACTATTTTCTCTGTGGACTATCAAGGGTCGGAGTAGGGAACTGTGGCGGAGGCCCTCTTGTCCACAGTTCTGAACTCCATGAAGGAAGCCTTTAACAACTCCTCTCATGAACTGAAGATCCTTCTATCTCTGATACCAAGTATAAACAACAGAATCTTTGGATTCAAAACCCATTAGATCTACGTAATCAAATTTCGACTTATCGCACCTTGTCAACTTACTGTGATATGGAATAGGGTAACTGTCCATACGCGGCAACCAACAGCAAGTCGGGCGAGAAGAAACTACGCACGCGCCTACACGTCGGTTTTTCCTTGGACGAGTCCTCTATTGAGGCCGTCCAAGACTACCTTCATACCGGACTTTGTCAATTGGGTAGAGAGTATACCCGTATTTCCTTCCTTCTCCATCTAGCAAGTCCGGTAGCAGCGGATCTGCTAAGTTGCCTTCTTTGGTTGGCCATGGAGCTCCTTGCTCCGCAGCAGGGCCATGAGAGGCCCCAGGTCGTTTGCCGCTAGATCACGGCGCGCAGGCAGAAGATCCCAAATCAGTGGCCTGTCAAGTGTTGTTGCTCACGCTTCACTTGACAAATATTTACGTTCTCTTCCACCAGGAGATTGCCTTGGCAATGACCATTGCTGTCGCTCTTCACTAGCTACTTGTGTTACTTTCCAGAACGTTAACGGCGTTCCTGAGGAAGTGACCATGTGAAACAGCGGCAGATCAACTCCTGGCTGCAAGATGAACAAGTGGGGATCGCGTTGTTGGCAGCGTCCAAAACGTATTGGCCCTCTATCCTGGAGGGTCACGGATGGAATGACAGAATGCGACAGACAACTATGAAGGCAAAGCAAAACGGTTTTGATTTGGCTGTCGCTTATAATAAGCAGCAGTCACGTTCTTTGGCTACTACCGCCTTTTGATGGGGAGGATGCATCGCGGCAGTGCTCAGCAAGGTCTCCCATCAAGCTAAAGAAGGAGGGAGTGATGCAACAGGGCTGGGATGTTGGGCTTACGTTTGTCTTCAAGGGAGGAAGCTGAGGGAGCAGGTGACAATAATCTCTCCGGCTCTGTAAATGACACACGTGATCTAGTGGTGGTATCTGCATATAGGCCAAACAGAGAAGGTACTGGGGAATCGACAGTTTGGGCCCAACAATGCCACTACTTTAACTCTATAAAACGTAAGGTTAATCCACGCAAAGCATTTGTTGACGACCTACGCAAACAAATTCAAAAGTGGAGGGATGAAGGTTGCGAAGTTCTACTGGGGATTGATGCTAATGAGGACCTTTCGGTCAACTCCCCAGAATCCATAAGGCAGCGATTCCGGGGGTGCAGATTGATTGGAAGAAGCGATGTTGACACGGTACCCTCCAATGGCTACCCACCAACGAAATCAAAGCAGCGTTAATAATAATAATAATAATAATATTGTGAATTTCAGAAATTCTGCCCACCAAATAAAGGGGCTAAACCCGACCCTGGAAATCGCTTATTTCTGATTTATCGACTTACTAAAAATTATTTACGCTTTTTATTTGCGCGCGAGTGACTTCTCCCTCCAGAGACGAAAAAAAGATGGTGCAACAAGCCGAGGGCAACCTTCCCGAAGATGAAGATCAAGATCTCAAGGGACGAGTAACCTTCAAAAAAGGCACACCGGGTGGCACTTGCAGAGGTGGGGAGTCTTTTGATTTTAACTTGAGCTACTGAGATACCGCTGGCATAAGATCACTAGACTCGACATGCAGAATTATGCCAGTGCCAAGTTGAACAAGACTGCTTGAAGGGAAAGGGACAATTTTTGAATTCTTTGTCTACGTTCCAAGACGTCAGGCGGCTCAAGTACAGCGACTAAGAAGAGCCACTGCCCCTGCAATTCAGAGGGAACGGCTTCGCCAGCATGCAGCAGCAAACAATCTACAAATTGGACCAATTGCTGAACAACATTTGGCAACATTCAATGCAAGGGCCCCCGAAGGCACAGAGCTTGCGATTCCGACAGATGTGACAACCCGCCAAGCCCAAGCACTCGATCGCGACCAAGCGCGATTGCAGAATGAGGATGCTCAGGCTCTAGCCGATCGTATAGGCCTGTCGAAATTGAGCTATTTGGTGGTACCAAGGCCATGATTTGTATGAACATTGTATTGCTCCGTCAGGCTCTTTCACTTCCGAACCATGATTGCTTCCAACAAGGCATCTACAACGAGTATACACATCCAGTTCTTCCAGACGGAGCTGACATGGAAGATGTAGATCACCATAATCAAGACTAGAGTCAATCATCATTATTAGGATTACAAAGATTATCAAAAACATCATCGTCCAATCCACCAATTGCATAGCCGCAATGAGCATATTCTCCTGTAGAACCAGAGACATTTTGATTTCTAGTACACTCTCTCATGGCAACCTTCAACACCAACTCAGGATAGAGTGGAAAGACTAGGTTGGCCTTCTTCTGAATATATCTCTTCAGTCGTCCAAAGCAAACTTCAATCGGATTCAGCTGTGGACTCACGACTCTCCACCGAAAGTCAGTCGAGTATGTCATAATCTGGCTCTGTTATTTTATGATCAAAAGGCTGGAATAGCACTCTGCAGAGTGCCATTCCAGGCTTAGATTCCTTATCTAAATGGATGGTTATCAGTGTTCATCCACTATCTGCATATTAGCCTCATCAACGAAGGTATCTTCGTATGTTTCCTACTCTCCACCAAAAGTCAGTCGAGTATGTCATAATCTGGCTCTGTTATTTTATGATCAAAAGGCTGGAATAGCACTCTGCAGAGTGCCATTCCAGGCTTAGATTCCTTATCTAAATGGATGGTTATCAGTGTTCATCCACTATCTGCATATTAGCCTCATCAACGAAGGTATCTTCGTATGTTTCCTACTGATTTCGTGGCCGACAGACCAAAGCAATACCATCCTCACAATCCTGACTTCACTCACGAGCAGGTAACAATATATTTGCTTGAGGCCATCGCGCTCAAGAGCTTGGACTACGCTCAAGATATGATCTGGAGTGTGCGAAATATGGCCCATGTGGACTTTGAGGCTTTAAGAGGCACCCAAACGGTCTACAAGCCGGGAAAGAACGACACCGAGTTCTACAAAAGTTCGAGACAGGCTCAACTTGATAGGAACTGGGAGAACCTGAATACCAAGATTGATAAGAGAGAAGTGATTTACACCACGAATCAATATACCGTGGCTGCGATCATCACCAAGCACTTCATCACTCAAGCGATGAGAGATAAGTTAAGCAATGAAAGTGATTGGTTGGACCTCAAGGAAGACCATGTGATGCTTCTGAAGCGTATCAAGACGTTCATGACCATTACAGACGAGACCGAGTGGCAACACTTTGGACTCATGGAATCTCTCAAGAGATTCACGAACTGCACTCAGAAGCAAAATGAGACTGTGAATGATTACAGAAGGCGGTTCGAAGCTCAAGCTGATCAAGTATTCGAAATCCTTGGTACAGATGTGTTGCATGTCTATGCGACCAAAACAATGGGATACCTGGATCTGGACGATCCGGAGGCCGATCCCGACGATATCAAGGCGCTCCAAGACAAGTTCAAGAAAGAAGTTTTGGACACATTCAAGGCAAGCGCATTTTTCTACAACTGCGATAGGTCTCGCTTCCAAAGCATGTTGGACAAGGCGAATCAGACCTACGCCATGGAATTCAAGGACTACGAGCAAAGAAACGAGTATCCGACTACGATTGATCAGGTCGCTAAAGCACTGATCAAACATAAACTGGACAATCGAAAGAAAGGTCCGACAACACCGAGACCTACTCCAAGCGCACCCACTGCGAGCAGCAGTGCCCCGGACGGAGTGAGCAACGCGCAGGCGGCTGCTCGAACGACATCTTCGCGACCGGCTTTTAGTTGCTGGTGTTGCGGAGACACTGGACATGGTGTGACCCGTTGTCCCGAACGTTCCACGCGCCCACAAGCGGAATGGAACGACCCAGGACGATATAGCGACGCACCCACTACTACTACTACTACTTCAAGACGAGCGGGGAGAGCCAATCTCCAAGTCCCTGCGACTGCATCTGCGGCGCAGTCGGATGCCGCGTCTAGCGTCACGGGAACGCAAGCGACTGGTCAACAACATCGAAGCAATATGCAACGAGCTGTTGTTGACAGGAGTGGAAATGCCACTTCTGGTGCTACTGATGTACCCGGCTCTTATGTGGTACGAGGTAGATCTGTTGCTGATGGACGATCTAATGGTAGAATTACAGGATGGAACCTTGCACAAGTACGTGTAAGACCAATTCTGAAGAAGAAAGCAGTCTCCACTGA